AAAAGAGGCACCAAGCTCCCCCTGACCCCTGAGGAGCTGTTATAGAAGCACTTATAGTTCTGAACTGCTGATGCAGACAGAAATGAACTCCAATTGCATCATGGTATATTTAATGTCTGCATTGGATGCATTGTTATGTATCAAACGGTTAATAGGGTACCAAGAAACCCACTCTTGGGATTGGGAGTTGAGTGAGGGCATGAATACTTTTATAAAGTATTTTTGTGGGCCAGGCTTGGTGGTTCAGCCTGTAATCCCATGCTTTGGGAGGTCGAGGTGAGTGAATTGCCTGAGCCCACGGGTTCGAGATCCACCTGGGCAACTTGGTGAGACCTCATCTCTACAATAAATCAAAAAAATTAGCCAGGCGTGGTAGTGCATGCCTGTAGTTCCAGCTCCTTGGAGGGTTGAGGCGGAAGGATTACCAGAGCCCAGCAGGTTGAGGCTGTGGTGGCCGGGAGTGGCCACTGCACTCCAGTCTGGGTGACAGAGTGAGACTCCAACTAAAAAAAAAAAAAAGTATTTTTGTTAATATTTTTGGTCTATGTATTGAGAAAGAGAAAATACAAGCTAGACAGACTATTCAGACCAAATGTTTCCATCAGTAACATTCAAAAATAAAAAGCCATTTGTGACTCAAGAGTTGGTCAGCACCATTCCCTATGGGTCATGCTAAAAATAGAAGTTAACCCAGCTTCTTGAGAGCTTACTGCATGCATTTTTATTTTTATATTATTTTTATTTTTTTTTGAGTTGGAGTCTCACTCTGTCACCCAGACTGGAGTGCAGTGGACACTCCCGGTCACTGCAGCCTCGACCTGCTGGGCTCCGGCGATTCTTCTGCCTCAGCCTTCCAAGTAGCTGGAACTACAGGCACGCGCTCCCACGCCCGGCTAATTTTTTGATTTTTATTGTAGAGATGAGGTCTCGCCAAGTTGCCTAGGTGGGTCTCGAACCCGCAAGCTCAGGCAATCCACTCACCTCAGCCTCCCAAAGGCGCGGGATTACAGGCTGAGCCACTGAGCCCGGTGGCTTTCTATTTTTTTGAGTTGGAGTCTCACTCTGTCGCCCAGGCTGCAGTGCAGTGGCACGGTCACTGCTCACTGTAGCCTCAAACTCCTGGGCTCAAGTGATCCTCTACATCTGCCTCCTTGTAGCTAGGACTACAGATGTGTGCCGCCATGCCCAGCTAATTTTTTTTGTAGAGATGAGGTCTTGTTATGTTGCCCAGACTGGTCTGGAGCTCCAGGTCTCAAAGTCATCTTCTAGCCTTGGCCTCCCAAAGTGCGGGGATTATAGGCATGAGTCACCACACCCAGCACAGCGTTACAATTCTGAGGACTTTCTTTTTATTTATTTATTATTTTATTTAGTTAACTTATTTTTATGATGTCCTTCTTGGCTAAGGAACGACCAGTGAGTTTTATAATTAGATAAGGATCCATACGGAAGGACATGGAACTTGCTATATTTTTGTTTTCCTGTTTTTTTTCTTTTTTAGTTGAAGTTTCACACTGTTGCCCAGGCTGGAGCGTAGTGGCATGCCTACTGCCACCACAGCCTTGATCTGCTGGGCTCAGGCAATCCTTCTGCCTCAGCCTTCCAAGTAGCTGGAACTACAGGTGTGCGTCACCACACCCAGACAATTTTTTTGATTTAGACGAGGTCTCGCCATGTTGCCCAGGTTGGTCTCTAACCCATGGGCTCAGGCAATCCTCTCACCTCAGACTCCTAATGTGCTGGAATTACATGTGTGAGCCATTGCACCGGGCTTTGGTCCCTCAGCTTTCATCAAAGAATGTCAAAGCTTTCTGCGGTGTGATTTACTAGGGTATAGTAGGGCCAAATCAATTATACCAGAGAACAGTTATAAGTTAAGAATTTGCCTGAGTGTAATCTTAGGCTTACTGACTTTTAATAAACACGAAGCAAGAATATACAAAAACAGGAAGGATTGGTAGATAAGGCACGGTCCTATTCATCCTTTTGAGTAGTTGAAAATCAATCGCAAATCAAGCAATTAGTAGACAGCTAACTAGCATTGACTGAAATGTGATTTATAACATGCTGCCATCAGCCTACATCAAGAACTGCTCTAAGAAACAGTTCTACAATGGAGACATACACAAGAGGCAGGTACCTAGGGCCGAAAATTCAAAGAAGTTGAGGCCAGAAAAAAAGGCCAGTTTTATGAGCATATCTGGAATACACATTGCACTGCTTTCTCCTTCATTAGCAAATAACAGTTTGTACTTTGTCAAGAGGCTAGTCTCGTGAATGTTCACAGAGCCTTCCGGTGGACATGGCCACTATGCCAACAGCTGCTTCATCTGCTAAGCTAGCACTTTTAGAAAAACCTTAACCATTTATATATCTCTTCCTTTTAACTGACAGATTAAGCTCTTATCATGTACCACTCAATGTTCTGAAGTAGAGATACACTATGGAATGGTTAAACCTTGCTAACTAACAGGCACATTACCTCACATATCTATCATTTTTATGGTGAGAGCACATAACATCCTCTACGTTTTTCAAGAATACGATATACCATAACTGTAGTCACCTTGCTGCATCATGATCTTTTGAAAATTATTCCTCCCATCTAACTGTAACTGTGATCCTTTCACCAACATCATCCTATTCTCCTTCCTTATATTTCTATATTTGCCCATCTGTTAATCATAGGAAGTTCCATCTAAAGTTGTCTTCTTCCTCATTAATGCAGTTAACACAACTTGCTGCCCTCACAAGAAAAGAAACTGGTCCTTCATGTGAATTAGTATTTCTTTATGGATAGCTACTACCTAAATCATTCTGCTAGCATTAACATGGAACATTACCTGGCCTGATACATACTGTAACCCCAAGGAGTTTGGGCCAAGCATTAAGAGTAGAACAGCAGGGCACATAGCTCATGTCTATAATCCCAGCAATTTCGGAGTCCAAGGCGAGAGGACTGCCTGGCCTAGGAGTTTGAAACCAGCCAGGGCAACTTGGCAAGACCTTATCTCTACAATAAATTTAATTAGCCGGGCTCGGTGGCTCAGCCTGTAATCCTGTGCCTTTGGGAGGCTGAGGTGAGTGGATTGCCTAAGCCTGCGGGTTCGAGACCCGCCTGAGCAACTTGGCGAGACCTCATCTCTACAATAAAATAAAAAATGAGCCGGGCATGGTAGCGCACACTTGTAGTTCCAGCACTTGGAAGGCTGATGCAGAAGGATCACCGGAGCCCAGCAGGTCGAGGCTGCGATGGCCAGGAGCGGCCACTGCACTCCAGTCTGGGTGACAGAGTGAGACTCCAACTCAAAAAAAAAAAAAAAAATTAGCCAGGCATTGTGGCGCACACCTATTTCCAGCACTTGGAAGGCTGAGCGGAAGGATCACCTGAGCTCAACAGATCGAGGCTGTGGTGGCAGTGAACGTGCCACTGCACACGAGCCTGGGCAACAGAGTGAAACTTCAACAAACAAAAAATAAAAAACCTACAGGGAAACAAAAATACAGCTGCTACGCAAATCACATGTCCTTCCCTATGTATCCTTATCTAATTATAAAACTCAGGGGTCATTCCTTATTCAGGAAGGAAATCATAAAAATAAGTTAACTAAATAAAATAAACAAATAAATAAAAAGAAAGTCCTAGGAATTGTAACACTGTGCTGGGTGTGGTGACTCATGCCTATAAACCCCTTTCTTTAGGAGGCCAAGGCTAGAGGATCACTTTGAGACCTTGAGCTCCAGACCAGTCTGGGAAACTTATTAAGACCTCATCTCTACAAAAAAAATTAGCTGGGCATGGTGGCACATGCCTGTAGTCCCGGCTACCAGGAGGCTGATGTAGGAGATCACTTGTGCCCAGGGGTTTGAGGCTGCAGTGAGCAGTGACCGTGCCACTGTTCTCCAGCCTGGGTGACAGGGTGAGACCTTGACTCAAAAAACAAAAAGAAAAAGCAGCACAGTGCATAATTATACCACATGATGTCCTCCTTACGAAGACCCTGGAAGAAATCCTATCTGAAGTCAGTATCAAGGATAAATGCATTTTTTAAACAATTGTCTTGCTTATGTCTCATGAACATTATGAGTTTCGTAACTGACAGGTCGGATCCTAAAAAGGGCCAAAACTAGGCTCTTACTTAGATCACAATGTATATATCTTTAGCCTCATTCACATTTCAGCTTTATCCCTACCCTCGGCAGTGTGTGATTCCCCCTTTCACTTGTTGTCTTTGATGTAGTCTTGTAGGCCACTTTAGATCCTGTCTAGAACAAGGCAAGGTACAGGTAAAACAGTACAAAGACAGGCCCCTGTAATCCCAGCACTTTGGGGGCCGAGGTGGGAGAGTTTGAGACCAGTCTAGGCAACATAGCCAGACTGTGTCGCTATAAAAAAAAAAAAAATCAGCTGAGCATGGTGGTGCATGGCAGGAAGATCACGTGAGTTCAGAAGGTCGAGGCTGCAGTGAGCCATGAGTGTGCCACTGCACTCCAGCCTGGATAACAGAAGGAGACTCCGATTCAATAAAAGGGAGGTTAGTCAGTACTCATGCTGTCAGGTTACCAGTTCTCGCCGCAGCTTGGTCAGCTCCTCCTTCTTCTGCTCTTCCTCCTGCTGCCTGGCCTCCTCCAGTAGCTGTGCTTTCTGGGCTTCCACTTCAGCCATTCTCCTCTCCAGCTCCTGCCGCTCTTTGGCTCTCTTCTCAGTAGCCAGCTGGAAAGGTTCCTGAACTAGAGAACCAGAAAGGCCCTCTGAGTATAGAAACAGAGATATATTGATGCACAAGCAGGACTTGCATACATCTAGCCTCCCCCTAGCTCCTCCCAGAAGAGCAAATGGCACAGACATGCGTGGCAGCAGAAGGGCTGAGCTCTGAGGAAGCCCTGTTAGGAGAACGATGGCATCAGCTATGTACAGTTTTAGACTGTAAGAGTTGGAAGGGTCCCTGGAAGTCATCCAGTGTAACTGAGAACAAAGCAAGACCCACAGAGGTGAAGTAGCGTGCTCCAAACTACACAACGATTTTGAGGTGGACACAGGAAAAGAATCCCAATTTTCTCACACACTGCCCAGTAATTAAGGAACCAAATGTTTTGTATCTAAGGCTTGCTTGAGGGTGAACTACACAAAGGCATCCTGGCTCTCCCTTCCCTCATTTCCTTGCTATTCTGTGGGTGGGAAAGCCTGGAACTCTTGTTGGAATGCTAGCTGCCAAGGTTCATGTTAAATGAATCTGACCCCAACACATCCTACAACTCAACATAGCACTGGGATCAATAAAGACAAAAATGGGTCTCGAGGAAGAAAAGATACCATCCTCTGAAATCAAACACTCCTGGTTGACACAGTATTGTACTGACATATTGAGGTCCAGCAGCCTCCTGGAAAGTCTGACAATTCTGCCCCAATCCCACAAGAGTACATAGAACACTACCAGCAACTGATTTCTTCTCCTTCTTGGGAACAAAGGGCTCTTGGGAGATGACGGTGTTTGGACGTGCCTTGAAGCAAGCCGCTTCTTTCTGCTGTTTACGTTTTTCCTCCAGCTATTAGAGAGAGAGAGAGGGTCTGTCAGATAAGCAACTACACAGCTTTCTGTGACTACTACCTCATAAATTAAGTTCTAATGTTTCTGAATACCTTCATAAATAGAGATAGTAGATTTAATATAAACTCTAGATAAAATTTCTCACACAAACGTTATAATGAATAGATAAGTCTGATAATATCTCAGCCCACTGAGAACTAGAGAGCATTTAAAAACTTTTAAGGTACCCAACACAAAGAAATGATACATGTTTGAGATGATGGATATGCTAATTACCTTGATCATATCACTATATATGTATGGAAATACCACCAAGTACCCCCATGCATATGTACAATTATTGCCAATTTTTAAAAATTAAATATTTTAAAAAGGTACTTTTAAGGCTTATCTTAGCCTCACAAAAATAAACTACCTTGTCTCTATATGCCTCTAGATATAACTCATTAGGAACTACACAATATCACCTATAAAGTATTCTCCTTCCCACCCCTGAAAAACATCTAACCAGAATTTAATCATGCCTCTAAATCTAATTACTCATTTATATGAAGTATAGACAATAGAGGAACATGTTAAACACCACCATGGAAATGCAAAATCCAGGTTGTGGAAAATCTATAGGACAAACAATTCAATGTATTCAACTAATAAAATGCAAAGAAAAGAGATGGTAGATCGAAAGAGATTTAGATTTATCAAACAAATGTACCATGTGGACCTTATTTGAATATTTATTTCAACAGGCCAACTGTTTGAAAAAATTATGGGAGTCCACGCATGGTGGTCTATGACTGTAATCCCAGAACTTTGGGAGTCCAAGGCAGGAGGATTACTTGAGCACAGGAATTCGAGAGCACCCCAGGAAACATACTTTCTCCTCCTCTCTACAAAAAAAATAAAAAATTAGCCAGCATGGTGGTGCACACCTGTAGTCCTAGCTACTCGAGAGACTGAGGCGGAAGGATCACCTATGTCCAGGAGGTTGAGGTTGCAGTGAGCCATGATCCTCCCACTGCACTCCAGGCAAGACCTCAACTAAAAAAAAGAAGAAAGAAACCAAAGAAACCAGCCTGGGCAACTTGGTGAGACCTCGTCTCTACAATAGATCAAAAAAATCAGCTGGGTGTGGTGGCACACGCCTGTCGTTCCAGCTACTCAGAAGGCGTCCAAAGGAGGAAGGATCGCCTGAGCCTGGCAGGTCCAGGCTGCAGTGACCATCAATGTGCCGCTGCACTTCAGCCTAGGTGACACTGACACTCTGACTCAAAAAAACTAACAAATTATACACACACACACATATAGATGAAAAATGTGGGGACATCTGAATGCTATCTGTCACTATTCAGGGATTACTGTCCAATTTTTTTAACTGTAATATTATTATGGTTATAAATCCTTATATTTTAAATATGCACACTGAAGTATTTTTGGATGACAAGCAATGTTACCTAGGATTTGTTTGAAAGTAATGTTATGTAGGCAGGAGTAGCCAGGATTAGGTAGATAAATGAGTGAAACAAGATTTTCCATGTTTTGATCATTATACAACCAGGTGATGGGTTTCTGGTAATTCATTATACTATTTGCTCTACTATTTCTATGGTTGTGTCCAAAAAATTTTTTGAAAAATTATTTTATTATGGAAAATGCCCCACATAGACATTCTGTCTTGGTTATTGAGAAGGGAGATTTCACTACAATTTCCAAAGCAACAGTTCTCAGTTTTCTTAGAAAAAATGACATCAGAAACCTATGTTCAGTCAGATAAGCAATTAAACCTCTCAGTCTTCAAGAGGGTGATTCCTACAAAGACTAGCCCAGAGATCCTTGTGGACAAAATCCAGGATTATTGATGACAAAAAAATGCCAACTCATTCAGAAATTTGAGGAAAGCTCTCTAGCTGGGTAGAATTAGATCCCAATTAATAATTCAGCCAACTCCCAATTAATTGTTTTTAATCTCCTGACATCTATAAAGAGCAAATGGTACATCATGCTGAGAAAGCAGCATACCAAATTGAGAATCCATTCTCCCATACTGTTTCCTACCAAAGGACCAACAAAAGGGAATTAACACTTAATGAATGAGTTTAATGGATGGAATAGATGGGACCTTAAAGAGACTTTTGAGGCGACCCCTTTGGGTCCCCTCCTACTGTGGGAGCTTTACAGTTCTCTCAATAAATCATTCTTTCTCACTTTCTGGCTGTCTGTGTCCCTCATCCTTTCTGGGCATGAGACAAGAACCTCGACCTCAAAGGGCTGCAGAAGATCGTCGGAGCCAAAGAGCCATACACTACCCCAGAGTCTGGCTTGCCAGGTGACGGAGCCAGCTAAACTAGAAGAGCTGCCGGAAGGCGGAACTCTGAAGTTGAGACACCGCGGGGACTAGGCTCGCCAGCTTACCAAACCAGCAACACTCTCAGGGCTTGGCTTCCCAGCCCATTAGAGCCGACACTCGCGGGGGAAAGGCTTACCAGCCCTTTCAGACTACCCTCTCTGGGATTTGGCTGACTGACCCATTGAGCTGACACTCTCAAAGCCCAGGCTGACCTGAAAAATCTGCACCAGTTTTGGCGCCCGAACGTGGGGCTCAATGGAAGGGATCTACAAGGAACATAAACATGTTGAAAAGGTAAAAACAAGCAATCCCATTACAAAGTGGGCAAGGGACAGGAATAGACACTTCTCAAAAAAAGACATACGAGTAGCCAACAGATACATGAAAAAATGCTCAGCCTCACTAGTCATCAAAGAAATGCAAATTAAAACCACACTGAGATACCACCTAACTCCAGTCAGGATGGCTATCATCAATAACTTAAAAACAACAGATGCTGGAGAAGATACAGCGAAAAGGGAACAGTTCTACACTGCTGGTGGAGTGTAAACTAATACAACCTCTGTGGAAAACAGTTTGGCGATTCCTAAAAGATCTAAAAACCGACCTTCCATATGATCCCATAATTCCCCTACTGGGAATATACACAGAGGAACTCAAATCACTCTATGAAAAAGATACCTGCACACATATGTTTATTGCAGCATTGTTCACAATAACAAAAACGTGTAACCAACCGTGCTGCCATCAAATGAGGACTGGATAAAAAAATGTGGTACATACAAAAATGGAATATTCCATAGCCATAAAGAAGGACAAAATTATGAACGTCACAGCAACCTGGATGGACTTAGAAGCTATAATACTGAATGACCTATCACAGAAACAGGAACTGTGTATCACATGTTCTCACTTACAAGTGGACTTTGAACAATTATCGTAATATTGTAAGAAAAGGGTTGGCAGTAGTGGGAAACTACCAGGGGAGGGTGAGGGCGAGATTGGCAGTAGTGGGAATCTGCCAGCGGAGGGGGGACACACCTCATCAACAAGGGTACATGCATAATGAACATTTGTATTCCTAATCCTGAATAAATTTTTAAAAACTCAAAAAAGAAAAACAGAGACTATTGACTCCAAAAAAATCAACTGGGCATGGTGGCGCATGCCTGTGGTTCCAGTTACTTGGAAGGATGAGGTGGTAGATTATCTAAGCCCAGCAGGTCAAGGCCACAGTGGCCATGAGCGTGCCATGCCACTGCACTCCAGTCTAAGCGACAGAGTGAGACTCCAACTCAAAAACCAGAGCAAGTGACTCAAAATAAGCCTGTCAGTTCTCACATTCCCCAGGTGATCACTTACGCAGGGGTCTGCAAACTTTGACCTACAGGCCAAATCTAGCTTGCAACCTGTCTTTGTACAGCCCTTGAGCTAAAAATGGTCCTTACATTTTCAAAGGATTAAGCACACACACACACACAATATGTGACAAACCATATGTAAGCTACAAAATGTAAAATATTCACTATCTGGCCCATTAGAGAAATGATGTGCTGACCCCTGTTTACAGTGAAAGCCTCTGAAATAACCTAGTATGTTGTCCTAGATGATTTTAGCACATTGAGTCTGCCTGTCTAACCAAGCAACCCAGCGATTGACATTTTGGCTGCTCTCTGCATTCCCCACCTGGTACTTCCATGTCTGTGCCTTCACAGCACCTCTCTTGTCGGTCTCCAGGCAGAAAGGCTCAATCTGGGTCACATGCTTTACCTTCTTCTTTGGCAGATTAATGGTGTCAAAATGAGGCAAGGGAAGAGCCTTGAACTTGGGCATCTAATGGAAAAGAAAACATGAGTTTTAAGACAAAGACCAGAAGACAGAAAGCAATTACTGCTCCAGAATATTTGGAAGAATCTGAAAAATGGGGAAGGCCAGTTGGTCCAGCAGAAAAAGAATAAGGGGCTCAAAAGGAAATCTAGGTTTTCCTTCCAATATTGCCAGGAATTAGCAGTGTGATTGGGGCAAGTTATTTAATCTCCTTGTGCCAAAACAATTATTTAAATTACTTACCTCATTGGTATTTTATACAGTTCTTAGAGGGATCAAAGGAAGCCAGTGATTTTATAGTTAAAAGTGCTACAGAAAAGACTATTGAGGATTAAAGACTAGCAATACACCACTTGCAGAAATGGCAATACCTACCTCCCCTTTCTGCAGTTCTTTTATTTTCTTTTCCTTCTGCAACTGACGTTCTTTGTCTCGAGAATCAAAGGAGAACGGGCATACTTCCACAGTTCTTGTCTCTGGAATTTGGGGCTTAAAAGGCACTCCATAATGTGGCAAAGGTTGAGCTCTTATCACTACCAGTTCATCCTCTTCCTAAGAGAAAAACTGCAGTTTAAAGACAAAACTCCTTACTCTCTCCCACAGCCTCAGAATGCAGGATCAAAAGACATAGCAAGCCGGGCTCGGTGGTTCAGCCTGTAATCCCGTGCTTTGGGATGCTGAGATGAATGGATTGCCTGAGCCCGCGGGTTCGAGACCCGCCTGGGCAACTTGGCAAGACCTCATCTCTACAATAAATCAAAAATTAGCTGAGCGTGGTAGTGCGTGCCTGTAGTTCCAGCTACTTA